TGCAGCTCTGTGCAAAAAGCCATCATTCTTATTATTAGAATTATAGACTTTCAGCTTCAATTCAAGGCTCTAAAGTTTTCTATGAGACGCTTGAGACAGATTTTTATAAACAGTCGCACAGCTGACTGAAGAACAGGTGAGGTCTGCTCTTCATCACAGAGGAAGCAGGTAACAGACCTGGAGCTGATTCAAAGCATTGAAGCAGGTCTGAGACCTACTGTGGGAAAAACATCTTCACAGCCTCTAAAACAGAAACGAAGCTGTAGCCAAATCAAGAAACAACAAATCACCAGGAGCAGATGGATATGCTGGAGAGTATTATAACATATTCGAGAACGAACTGACCGCCATACTCTGCAAAGTATATAATTATGCTCTAAATTCAGGAGATATTCAAAGTCATGGTCAGTTCTACATAAAGAGGGAAAAGACCCCATAAATTGTACAAGTTGTCGACCAATAAGTCTCCTGTGTGTGGACTACAAAAGTTTAACATCCATACCAGCCACTAGAATCCAAAACTATATGAAGAAATTAGTGAAACAGACGGGATCCATCAGAGAAAGCCCGAAATCTACCGTCAACAGCAGAACGAGATGAAATCAATGTTCCTCGGTCTGGATGCAGGAAAGGCGCTCGATCGAGTGGACTGGATATTAACAAACATTGATGACGATGGGATTTGGAGAAACCTTTGTTACATGGATCAACACGCTATATAAAGAGCCTAGGTCAAAGGTCAGGGTTAACGGATGCTGTTCTGATCTATTCAAGATAGAAAGGGGTGTGAGACAGACTCACTGTCACCCATCCTCTCTGCGATTAGGATAGCTCTTTTACTTTTTATTAAAAACCCACTTCTTTCCATCCCAGCACTCATGGAGTGCCTACACAGGCATGGCTCAATCTCAGGATATAAGATTAATGAAAATAAATCAGAGGCAATGATGATATCTGGAGAATGGCCTGTGCAATTAAATGAAAGGGTTTCCTTTCGCTGGCCTACACAGGGATTCAGATACCTGGGAATTACACTTACAGCAAAACCTAAGCAACTATATGAAACTAATTATAACAAACTCCTTGGACAAATAAAGAAAGATATATCACGATGGGATATTCTACCCCTCTCCTTATTTGGAAGGGTCGAAGTGGTGAGGATGAATCTCTTACCCCGACTTTTGTTTTTATTTCAACCATTGCCGGTAAGAGTTCTGGCGTCTACCTTCAGTATGTTAAATAAACAAATTTCCACATTCATTTGGCAAAAAAAGACCCAGGATATGACTTAAAACTTTGCTGACCTCAAAAGAAAAGGGGGGACTGGGACTGCCAAGTTTTAAATACTATTCCTGGGCTGCACAGCTAAACGCAGAGGTGGCGTGGATAAGAAATGACCAGGAAACTGGGTTCAGATAGAACAAAGCACAGCTAAGAATGAACCCTTATTAACATTACCCTTCAAAAACCTAAAAATAGAGAATGATTGGATAAAACAAGGTGTGGCCAACGATAAGGAAAACATTGGGGGGCCAGTGAGGGGCAATATAGAGTGGGACAGTGGCTTTAGTAGACGGACCAATGCAGCCTTTACACAATAAATCAGTTATTTAATGGAACAGAGCTCAAATCATTTTTCCAGCTCCAAGAACCATTCCCACTTCCTCCTAAAGATTTATATAGATACCTTCAGATAAGACATTATATCCTAAACCACAAAGAAAGAGACCTGATCAATAAATTTCCTAACAGCACAGAAGAATACTTTATTAACATTATAGAAAAACATCTCCCAACTAAGAAACATGTCTCTCATAGTCACAAAAGGCTGATAAATGAGTCAAAACACAGGCCATAATACAGAGAAATGGGAACTAAATATTATTATTACTGATAATGTATGGGAAGAGCTGTGTAAACCTGTCACAAGGGAAAAAGTAATCAATTATGGAGAGTTTGACTGGAAGTTTAAAATGAGATGTTTTAATACACCTCTTGTTATCTCCTCATATTGTAAGGAACCCAATGCAGATCTATGTTGGAGAAAATGTGGGAATGGAGACCATTCACATATTGTTTGGGACTGTCCAATAATCCAAGGTTTCTGGATAAGAATCAAAGAAGAAATCAAAGAAGTAAATACTCCACTAAACCCCACCATAAACCCAGGGAGATGTACACCTTACATGAAAAATATATTCTGCGGATACTCTTACTGATAGCTAAGAAAATGATAACTGGGAAATGGAAACAAACCATCCACAGCACAATGGAAACAGAAAAGAGTTCCCACAGTGGAACGAATGACAGCAAGCTTGAAACTGGAGATGAGGATCTTCTACCAGAGATGGGACTGTGTGGCCAGATACTTGGGTGAACAAGAACTGTGGAACATTGTAAATCTCTGTAAATCTCCTCTACGACATGTTATTGTATTTATCTTAGTCTGTTTTTCTTCTTCTTAAATGGTCTTATGTCAGAGAATGCTAATATGTTGCCTGTTTGTTTGGTTGTTTATCACCACAAAAATTACTAATAAAATGTTCTAAAAATAAAAGTCAGAAACGGCGTGGAGGACGATCGCAGCTCTACGGCTGAGAGACGGCA